TAGTTTGACGTATGACATTTAAAATCCATCTTGAGTTGGTTTTTTAATATGGTAAAAGGCAAGGGTCTAGCTTCATTCTTCCATATATAGCTAGCCAGTTGTCCCTGCAACATTTATAGAATATGGAATTGTTCCTCCATTGCTTGTTTTTGATGGTCTTATGGAAGATAAGATGATTATAGGCACACAGCTTTATTTCTGACTTTTCTTTTCTATTCCATTGGTCTCTGTGTCTATTTTTGTACCAGCAACATGCTGTTTGTACATGTAGCTATATATTTTGTAGTTTTATAGTATAGTTTGCAGTCAGGTAGTATGATGACTGGCTCTGTTCTTTTTGCTAATGATTGCTTTACCTATTCAGTTTCATTTTTGGTTCCATAAGAATTTTAGAATAATTTTTTTTCTAATTCTGTGAAGAATGATGTTGATAGTTTGCTAAGAACAGCATCAAATCTGTAAACTGCTTTTGGCAGTGTAATCATTTTAATGATATTGATTATTTCAATTCCATGAGCATGGGATGTTTTTCCATGTATATCTCTGATTTCTTTTCAACAGAGTTTTCACTTTCTTGGTTAGCTGCATTCCTAGGTATTTTATTTTCTTTATGTCTATTCTAATTGAGATCGTGTTCTTTATTTGACTCTCAGCCTGGATGTTATTGGTGTATAGAAATGCTACTGATTTTTATACATTGATTTTGTATACTGAAACTTTGATTATAGGAAATCTTTATTACTGATATAAAAGGATCCTTAGGAAAATGGATAAGAAAAAATTTAAATGGTGTTTGTGTATGATATTATTTATGTAAAACAAAAATATAATCATACAAAAGTCATTTATTTTGTAAGTATATATGAAATGTAGTTATATGTTTTACACATATTTATGTCAATGCATATAAAAGAGTATGTGACAGTGATTGCCCATCTGGAAAAAGAAGAGGAATTGGACAGAAGTCCAGAGGAAATTTATCATCACCTAACTTATTTGAAATTCTATGAGAAAATGAATTCATTTAATAATTGTATACTGAAGTTGTTTTAAATGCAGACAATTGCAGGAAATATAAAGAAGTAAATGAGCAGCTGACTGAGCAGCTGAGCGTATTACAGAAACTGAGTTTTGCACTATGTCTTCAAAGCACAAGACATAGTGTCTAGTCAGGTTTGTTTGAAGCACAAATCATTGTTTGAGAATTGAGGGAAAAAATGGGACACACTTGATTGGAAGTGTTTGCTAATGGTTTTTAAAGTTGGATTAAATTTTATGATTAAATTTTAAGCAGAGATACGGGATTATGGGATCTTTATTTTACAAAGCTGTATTTGTGGTACAGGATGAATTGGAAAGACAAAACTGTTAGTTTGTATGTGTGTATGTCTGTGCATGTGTGTATGTGTTGTGTGTGTGCACATGGGAGAGAGAGAATGAGACTATTTCAGGAAGAAGGCTTGTGTTAAGATATTATGTCTCGTAAAACCAACTTACAAATATACTACTAGTAGTCAGATAGTAGAAATAACTTTGAGTATACTACACAGTATATAAATACATCTCATATCTTCTATATAAAACTTATAGTATAGATGTAAGCATATACATTTCTCATCTTAATTACTGCTATCTCTTGTATACACTTAAAGAAATATCAAGATCTCAAGATGATTAGGAGTCAGCAAAAAACTTTAATCTGATCTTTGAGAACACCTGTTCTGCTTTTTCAATTTCCTTGACTTCAGATTCTTAAGAAATCATGAACCTTATATCAGGTCAAAAAGACAGATGATACCTACTGCACCATCTGTCTCAAGGTATATTTCTAACTTCTTTAAGTAAAAAAGATGGATATTGGGAAAGTCATTAGTTACCACTGCCTTTCCATTTGCTGGTGATAGAGATGGAGTCAATCAACCTGAGCATCTGCCTGGGTCAGCAGACCAGAAGAGACTTTTGACACGGGAATATATAGCTCTCTCTCCAGAATGCTTTCTAATTTCAACTTTGGACTCCTCTTATTGTTTTTAAGAAGGAAGTTTGATGTTCTTATCTCAGGCAAACTGTCTACATTCTCTTATGCTGTTTTTCACCATCAAGGCATGTTAAGACGATCCATCTCATAATTTTAACACAAAACACATTTTCTGATTGCATTCTTACTTCCTAGAGCCTGATTTTAAAAAGTTAAAAGGGGAAAACGAAATCTGCCTTCTGCAAGACACAGCACACATTACTGCTACGTATTTGTCAGGTTTCCAAAAGTAAAATTAAAATGGAAATGATAAATGAAGGTGGTGTTCCCATGTTTCCTTCTCTTTTTAAGTCCACTTAATTCTCCTCTTCTCTTCCATGATCAATATCTTACCCTTAACAACACCGGTTCCTGTTGTTCACATTCTATTTAATTACACAGGCATCTGTCCAGTTCTTATTAAGTTCAAGTCCTAGAATGATAGAGCAGTCTTGTCTTATGTGTGGATAGGAATGCACATTAAAAAGAAGTGGAATATAGTGATCATGATTTATTAAAGATATAATTATTTTATTCAACAAATATTAAACACTGGGTACACAAAGATGGTTTAGATGCCAACTCTGCCCAGGTTATTAGAGAAGGGCTATTATAAATATGCCATTATAATAGAATGTCCTAAGTGTATAATTGAAGCACATACAAAATTCTGCATACGTTCAGAACAAGAACTCATGCAGAATAAGAAATATGAACTAATGGAGAGAGAGGTCAAGGAAGGTGTCATAAAAGAAGTGGTACTCAGAAACAAAACAGCAGTGCAGCAAAAAGAGGGTGCAAAGGCTATTCCAGCCAGTGTGTGTGCCATGTGTCAATAAATATATAAGGAATACATTTATTATTTGGGGAAAGGTAAATTGTTCCCTGTAGCTAAAGAACAGGGTAAGTAGGAGAAAATTTGGTGAAGAACTGGGGGCAGGGAAGAACTGGATGACGTCTAGCATTGGCAGAAATGACCAGTTACTGTTCTCAGTGTTTTATGTTTTTTTCACATTTACTCCTCACAAAAAATCTGAGTCAAGTACTAGTATCCTTATTTCACAAAAAAGGCATCAGCCCAGGTAAGGTAAAAAAATAAAATAAAATTTTTCTAAATTTATATAGGTAGAAAATGGCAGAGGCAGTAATTAAATTCAAGTCTAATAAGTTTTAACATCTGTGTTCTGATTCATAGAAGATGGATGGTCAGGGGAAGACTACTTGTGAAGACCTTGAATGTAGTAGGAATTTGAATTTTATGTGTATGCAGTAAGAATTGAAAGAAATATTTTAAGCAACAGAAAAGGAATGTTCATTATATGGACAAAGAAAGACTAGTGCTTTCCGGACTTCCTTTGCTAACATTAGTAATGTGCAGTCATTATTATTAGTCAAAGATTTGCTTCAAGTCAGTGATTGGGCAAGAAGAAAATATAATTAAATTGGCCCATGGTACTGGATATACTCATCTACATAGACTTAAAACTAAAATATAATTTAATTTAATGAAACATCCTGAAAAGGACAAAAAGCTAAGGCATGATTTTCAGTATATTTTCAGCTCATTGATATTTAAATGAACTCAGAACTCAGTGACCAGCACAGATACATCTGCAAAAGCACTGCTTAGGGTTGATGTCAACACAGGATTCAAACAGAAAGCTAGTATGACACAGTGACTACTTAGCCAGGCTTTTCAGACTTGGCAATAAATTTAAAATCTGTATAAATTTGAAGCAAAAGTATTCACATCAGGAGGAGGTCAGCACAACCCTATTTTATATATCCTGAGTTTATCTGAATCAAAGGCATACCGTAATCTGTTGTTCTATGGGAAATAAAGTATAAATCAAGAAGGGGCTCTATATCAGGCCCTATGTTGCCCTTGAACTACGTGCACAGAAACTGAATTGACAATAAAAGCACAGTGGCCTGCTATATGGCAAGTGACTGCATTTATTTCCTTTCCTTTTTTTTTCAATGAGTGAAATCAGTAATAAGCCAGGCAACTTGATGCATTAATCTGTTACATTGTCTTTTATTGCTAAGTATGTGTGTATTGTAAGCAAAATCCTAATGTATAAATTACCTTGAAGAGAGATTTTTTTTTCAAAGTATAGAAGTAAAGAAATAATACTTTTCATCTGAATTCCATATTTAAAGATGAGAATTGTCAGTTGAGAGAACTAATTCGAGATGATTCTTGTACTTTAAATTCTGATTGTTCCATTTATTAATCTGAACAATTTACTTAGCACTTCTGAGCCTAGTTTCCTCAGCTCAATTGGAAAATAGAAATAGAACTCTCCTCTCTTCCAGGACCTGTATGAAGATTAAATGTGATAATGTATAGGATGCAGGTAGGTGCTGGGTTCATGGCAGCATCTATCTGCCCTGCCTATAAAATGCACTATTTGAATTGTTTTGGTTTCAACATTTGGTTTGCTGCCAGAGTAGATAGTCCTACAGAGAAATATCTTTGTTTGTCAAAACATAAATTAAAGATAATTGTAGGTCTTAAACTTTATCTGAATTTTAGACTTTTTCTGAGTATTCAAATGTTTTATATTCATATTAATTATTTATTAGATAGTTAGAGTTTTGATGGTTTTGCCTTCATTGAAGCAGTTGCTGTCCATAAGAAGAGATTTAAAAGTAGATAACAGTAGGACAGGTTGGCCTGTTCATGAAGAGGCCCTCATCTGGTGCATGACTTATGAAAATACTTTCTTTCCTCCCTAAGTCTTGTATTAGATTTTTGCTTAACAGAAGACAGCTTGGCTCTAATTGCTAATTTGCAGGAGAAAGCACAATCTCAATGTCTCCCTTATGGCAGAGGTGGTTTTGAAACCAAACCAAAAAGCCATCAGCAATATCCAGGATAATTCTGCCAAGAACTAGGGCAAAGGTCTTTTTTAAAAAAAATTATTTTATTTTTTCCTTGCAACTGACTTTGGGACCTGTAATTCACAGGTTGTCATGGGAACAAGTTGCATGTGTTAGTTCCCTTGGCAAAAGTGGCAGTCTGTGAATGGTGAATATTCAAGGTGGCACCAGGCTCATCTATGCTGAGAGTAAGTTCAGTTCCAAAACATCAAAAAAATCTTGCTAGATGTAGTCATAACAAAGAGGGCACCGTTTCAGTGAATTCAGACAATTGCCTAATACATGTCTTACTGCCTCAAATGTGCTTGCTTAGTAACAAATAGTAAGTTCCCCAGTGTGAGTGTATCAGTGTGTATGTTTACATTTTGATCAGGACATATTGATTTCTTCCCCACAAATAATGAATACAATATTAATAAGCATATTGATTTGATATTTTAGCGTTAATTAGCTTTGCTCTGGCAAAAGGCACCTTTGGTAGCTTTAAAGCTATCTTGAAAAATAACTCCTGCTAGTATTCTACTTAAAAACCAATACTCATGAAACTGCTAAGAAAACAAATAACTATATATTGATACTACTGATTGCTAGTCTAGTTGTCAGTGGAGCTGACAGCACAAAACCTAACCATAAAGTAAGGTTAAGATTGACTGATAGTGTATTCTCATGGTCCCGTGAGTTGTTGTATGTGCTTTACAAAGGGAAACGGTTTAAGTTTTATTTTTAGGTGTATTTTCTGACCCTCATTCTATTCACCCATTTCACCACCTCCTTCACTTATGAAAATAGATAGCAAACCATAGAATAGATCAAATAGAGAAATTTTCATTGGTATGTTTTCTGAATATATCATACAATTTCAGAGGTCAGGACACCCGAGATGTCGCCTCTATGCATAATCAGTATTTTCATCTTGTTTTCATATACTTTGCTCCTGGAAGCCCCTGACATGACCAGTAAAATAGATTTATTTTAACGACTAAGGGGTTCTAGTTGCAGAAACATGAGATTATTTCTGATGTTTTGATTAGCACAAAAATAAAATTTTAGCTTATTGTTCGTATGTACGGTTGGAATTTCCATTCTAATTCTGTTTTCATAACTCAGGTCTCAATTCAACCTCTTCTTCCATGATTTATTTATTTATTTATATTTTGTTTTGTCTTAGTTTTCAGTATTTTGAATCTAGATTGATTTTTTTCTCTGCTGTGACCACATTGAATAATTATAGCTATATGCTTTATCCTTTATATACAGTTTTCACAAGGATAACTCCTTGTATATGTAGCACATATATAGGTATATCAATATTTTATTACCCTCCAAACTTTACATAGGAACCAAACTTTTTGTTCTTTATTTATAGCTGCCTTCATCACAGAAGATCCAAGGATTTTATTTGAAGCTTACAAAATTTGTCTGAAGTAGGTGTCAGAAACAAGTGCTAAAATGGAAAATGTGAAATCACTAGCCTTCAATGATAACATTCAGAATAATTCATACTAACATGTAAGGAAGCTCCATTCCCCAGCTCTCCCACCACTTGGTATGTGTGGAAAAGGTGCCATGGTGAACAATAGACAGGCTTTTGTCAGATTTAGTTTGCCATATTGCATGTACATGAAGCCAAAGAGTGACTGGGAAGAATCCCAGCAGAGCACGAAAGAGCAACACACTGTAAAAGGAAAAATGAGAATGGAGAGACGGGAAAAGATGAGAACTCAAGAGATAACGCTCAAATGAAGCCGGAGGGAAATGTTGAAAAGGGAGAGAAACACTACAGAGGAGGGAAAAAAGAAAAAGAAAAGTGAACAGATTGCAGGCAGAATCATTGTAGAACTGAACATATCTAAAGTGTCAGGCAATGTATCTCTAAAAATGTATTTGGGAGTGCAGCCATTTCTTTTTTAATAGTGGGCTATTCTCAAGTGTTACGAAAGTCATGTGAGATTTGATATCAATTTTATTCTTGGCATTCAGTCTTTCTGTATGAACACAAAAGGAAACCATGAGGTTAGACAAAAAGGTAAAAGGAAGTTTTCATAGAAGGGGAAGAAGGAAACAATACATTGACATTGAAAAAGACATTTTAGAAACACTACTCTTCTAATTGTTTACACATCTGTGCTGTTAATTGCAGGCAGATTTGATGGTATTTAAGTGCTATTGTTGCCAGACATTGATTTGAAGTCAAATGCTTTGCATTCTTAACATTTCAATATACTATCTTATATTTTAAAATGCTCTCCAATAAAATACCCTGGGGAAATGTGAAGTCAGCGTTTCTCGATAGGAGTTGTAAAATTCATTTAGAGTGGTGAAAGTTTCACAATTTTTAAACCATTAACATTCCTCTAAGTAGAAGGTATCAAAACCTTTGAAAACCTCAATAATTATAAAATTTTGAATAGTGCAAGTGAGCTTTTGAACTTCTTAGCTATTTTTGGTTACAGAAATTTTCTTTAGGTTTGACAACAATGGTTTCTTTCAACTGCACATTTTCCTTCCATTAGATATGAGGATAAAAAGAATTGAAACTCTTTCCATGAAGGTGTTTTATAAAAAGTGATTGATGTAACATACCTGTTTAGGATTTATTCTTTCTCACATAATCACAGCACAATTGAACTTAATTCAGAATCTCATGGGTAGACAGAGACATAAAGTAGACTTCTTAATCCTTATCAACAATTAGAACAAATTGGCAATGTGATAAGGATAAATAACTTGTAAACATATAAAAAGAAATTATTAGGGAACTTCATTGCTGAGTTTGTTTCTATAATTCTTAACAGTTCTTTGGCATTACCAGACTGAGAAAGACAACTAAACATCTTATACTAAGTATACAGCCTGTGTTACGAGATGTTTGTAACTGGATTATCCTCAAGGTAACTAAAATGAGGGCTAAGAGTCCTCAAATTTATCCAATTTTTGTGAGCTTTTCTCTTCTGGGTAGGGAAATACATAACATTAGCTAATATTAGCTATTCACAAAGCATTTCCTTCCAACTCCATTCTAAGCACCTAAGATGTCAATATAAATCATAAAAAAACATTGTAAATTTCAATTATTCCTAACTAAGCCAATAATAGGAGTTGCTGGGAAATGAATCATTAATTTTTAGACTAAAGATTTTAATTTTGCCATAATTCTTCCTTTAAAAAGGAAGATTATAATTCTTTTAAATGTGATGAAATTTACTTAAAATAGCAGTCATTTCTCAAATATTGTTTGGTAGGAAAATTAATAATGAACTCATCAGTTTAGGACAAGATAAAAGATATAAAATTTTAGCACATGTAACTAATTTCATAGAAAACTTTATAAAACTTATAATAAATTTAGAATATACATATCCTTGAATAAAAAACAAATATATTTATATATGTGCATGCACACACCCAAATATGTGCATATAAGGTAATTAAGATTTAGTATTAAAATTGGTTCTCCAAATTTCAATTTCAGGATTCTATTCCATTCTTATATTCTTTTCCTTCTTTGACCCAAGTGTTGCAAATACTGTCTCAAAGGGAATGTATATTTTAGAGTTTTTATTTTGATGTATCACTGTCTCCTTGCAAAAAGTGCTCAAAGAGCTAAAAAAATTTTTTAGTTTAAAAAAGATGGTTTGAAAAATTTCTTCACTTTTGGATTAATCAATTTCACTATTTAGAGAGCTAAACTGAAATAAAAAGAAACTTCTATATAAGGAAGATTAAGTATTGGCTGGGTGTGGTGGCTCACGCCTGTAATCCCAACACTTTGGGAGGCTGAGGTGGACAGATCACGAGGTCAGGAGTTCAAGACCATCCTGGCTAACATGGTGAAACCCCGTCTCTACTAAAAATACAAAAAAGTAGCCAGGCGTGGTGGCACGTGCCTGTAGTCTCAGCTACTCAGGAGACTGAGCCAGGAGAATCGCTTGAACCCCAGAGGCAGAGGTTGCAGTGAGCCAAGATTGCTGTACTCCAGCCTTGGCGACAGAGCAAGACTATGTCTTAATAATAATAATAATAATAATAATAATAATAATAAAATTCTGTAAACGAAACTATAATTCAGTATCTCTCATGAGCATAGACACAGAATCTTTTTTTTTTTTTTTTTTTTTCAGCCTTTTGCTCTGTCACTCAGGCTGGAGTACAGTGGCGTGATCTCGGCTAACTGCAACAGCTGCCTCTCCGGATCAAGCGGTTCTTGTGCCTCAGCCTCCCGAGAAGTTGGGATTACAGGGTACTGCCACCACACTCAGCTAACTTTTTTGTATTTTTAGTAGAGATGGGGATGTTGGCCAGGTTGGTCTTGATCTGCCTGTCTCAGCCTCCCAAAGTGTTGAAATTACAGGTGTGAGCCATTGTGCCCAGCCAGACACAAACTCTTCAACAAAATCAACAAAATATTAGTAAACAAAATCCAACAATATATGAAAAGAATAATATATCCTGAACAAAAGAGATTTGTTTCAGGTGTACCAGGCTGGTTCAACATTTGAAAATTAATCCATGTAAAGCATCATATTGATTGACACAATACAAACATTTGACAAAATCAATTTCCCATTCATAAAAACTCTCAGCAAACAAAATTAAGGAAAAATTTCTCAAGTTCATAAAGAAATCTACAAAAGACCAACATATAACATCATACTTACTGGTGAGACACTGCATGCTTTTTCCCTTAGATCAGGAACATGGCAAGAATGTCTTAACTGCTATTAATATCTTACTGAAAGTTCTAGCTAATGCAATAAGACAGGAAAAAATAAATAGAAAATATACAGATTGGAAAAGAAGTAAAACCATCTTCAATTGCAGATGACATGATTTTCAATATAGAAAAATACCAATTTACCAAAAATATCTCGGAACTAATAAATAAGTAGATTAAGGTAGAATGTATACAAAATTACCATTATCACTTTGAAAAAATATTTATGTATTAGAGCAATTAAGAATAATACAAGATTTTATTTTACCTTCAGTTATTTTCTCTCTGATGCTTTTTTCTGTTTTAAAAGTCTACATCTGAGTTTCTGACATATTTCCCTTCTCTCTGAAGAACTTCTTTTCACATTTCTTTGCTGGAAGGCCTGCTGGCTATGAAGTCCCTCAGTTTTTGTATCTTTGAAAGTGTATTTCTTTTTCAATTTTGAAATAAATTCAAGTTTTTTCCTGCCTTTTGGAATGCCTTGCAAGTTTTTGTTACAATCTGAATATGATATATTAGGTAACAGATATTGAGGTTAATAGGGCATTAGTGTGAAATTTATCTGAATCTGACTAGCAATTGGACTATATTCAACATTTGTTGTAACTGTAGGTGTCAGAGACTAAATTTCACTAATATCCTGTTTTTGTTTCTCTGTTGGCTTCGGGTTTTCTTAAGATCTTTCATAGAACCTGAGCTTTGCAGCTTTTTCAGCTGTAATCTACTTTTTACTGTTAATATGATGAAAAAGAGTTGGGGAGGAAAATGCTTTATAATCTTATAATCAAATCTTGATCTTTTAGTGGGCCTATGTCCCTGGAGTGACCTTCACAAGTAATTCTTACATTCATGTTCTCCCGCACTTAGATGAAAGGGTAGAGAGGCCTGGAGCTGCGTATTACTCTCCTGCCTATTGGAGATACAACTTTCGTAATGGCTTCTTCACTGGAGAGTAGCCTATTGTTTTGGCATTCCAAAGTTATCACTTTCCCCATCTATCCATCAAAGATATGAGCTGTTTTTTTTTTGTTTTGTTTTTTTATTGTGAGAACCTGGTGGCATCTTTGTGGGTAAAACCTGTACAATTGTGAGCTACAAGCTTAATATACAAAAGTCAGTTGTTTTCCTGTATAGCAGCAATAACAATTAGAATTTGAAATTTAAAATAACAGACCATATACAATAGCACAAAAACATTTTACTGAGGTATATATCTAAGAAAGTATGTACAGGTTGTGTATGCAGAAAACTATAAAACATTGATGAAAGAAATCAAAGAAAATTCAAATAAACGGAGAGATATTTGTAGTTTATGGATTGGAAAATCAAATATTGATAAAATGGCCATTCTCACCAACTTCATCTATATAGATTCAAAGCTAATATACACCTATATATATTTTTTTCTTGCTGCTTCAGCCGAGAGAGCCTAGAAACAATGACGTACTAGTAGTGATAAGCCCAGCTAGCACCCAGATCTTTGTTTCTAATACCATTGTCCAATAAAATAAACCAGTGCTTCATGGCTTGTTTTAGTACTGGGGTAGGAAATATACAAGATGAGCCTGGAACATATTATAGTGCCAAAAACTAAAGGAGAACTAAAAAAGCCCACCCTGTTCATAACAAAAAACCAGCCTCACAACGATGAGGGTATTTCAAAAGGACACAGGAGTCAAGTGAAAGAGTTCCCAATTATGAAAGCTGGAACAATTTGAGCAACAAAACAGAGTTGTATTGGATTATAATCTAAAGTAAAAAAATAAATTTCCATGAGTTTTTACTGATTAAGTAACTACATAAATATCTTCTTTTCCAAAATTCATAACCCCATTTTAATCATGAGAATAATATCAGAAAATCCCAATCAAAGAACATTCTGTAAAATATCTGACCAGAACTTTTCAAAAACTGTTAAGATCATCGAAAACAAGGAAAGTCTGAAAACTGTCACAGTCAAGAGCAACCTAAGAAGAAATGGCTACTAAATCTAATGTAGGATTCTAGATGGATTCCTGGAACAGAAAAAAAGAACATTAGGTATAAACTTAGGAGACTTGAATAAGGTACGGACTTTAGTTAATAATGTTATGTCAATATTGGCTCATTAATTATGACAAATGTAAGATGTTAATAAGAGGAGAAACTGGGAGGGGGTTATATAGAAACACTTTTTACTATCTTCCCTAATTTTTTGTAATCTAAAAAGAATATTATAATACAAATAATTTATTTTAAAAAGCATTGTAAAGAGTAATTTTACCTGCTTTAATCTACTCTGGGCACTAGAATATGAAAGGATCACCTAGACTAGATATTATTGATGTAGCAAACAGTATGTCTGTCATTCATTTTGGCTGCCTAGCAGCTTATGCCCTTTAAATACCTGAATGGATTTTTTTAAACAAAAACTTTATTAAAAAGTAGAAGTTATTGAGAATGCCTAAACACATATGCTAAAATGAGAATTACCTACTTTTTATTGACTAAAGTGTAAGTTTATATTATAGTCTATACAATAATATGGAGGGAAATTCTGATATTGACTTCTACGTCATTGGGGAGTTGATGAGGTTTTTAGGCAGATATGACCAAGATAAGTATTTCTGTTCTCCTAGATCTGAGTTTCTCTTCTTGTGGTCTTCAATTCCTGGTATTTTCTGAGTGTACATTGAGTTTCCTGGAAAGGACTAGTCCATTTTGAGATAATAGTTACCTCAAATTGAATTAAGTTTGGTCTAAAGCTTTCTCCACACATATTTTAGGTCTGGCCTAAAGATTTACCCATACATAGTAAATTGTAACCTACCTTGATGTATAAACAGACTATAACCTACTCTGGTAACAAGTAGCTGTTTGAGCCAGTCACAGCAGCTGAATTTCAGCCAATCACAGGTGACCAACTGTTCAAACCATGTTCAAATAAGATAAATGCTGAGCTGTAACCAATTCAGCTGTTTTTATATCTCACTTCTGTTTCTGTACATTACTTTTTTTTTTTTCTGTCCGTTAATGTTGTCTGACGATGTAACAGTTTTAGAGTCACTTTGAACCTATTCTGGTTTTGGGGCCTGCCTGATTCGTGAATCATTTTTTGCTCAATTAAACTCTTAAAATTAATTTGTCTAAAGTTTTCCTTTCAATAATACCAAACGATTATACAGCACTCATTACAGGCCCAGTCTCCTTCTAGGTGTTTTATAGTTATTAACTCACCTAATACAACAATTCTGTTGGATGGCCTCTCTGATTAATGTCCCTGATAACAAATGAGGAAAATAAGCCTCACACCCTATAAGGGGCAGAGTAGGGACTATGAACTTTTCCACACTGTTAGTAGTTAGCCATAAAGATGTGGCTTATGGTATTAGAGTCCATATACCTAAATTACCACATTTTTAGTTCATATGTGAAAAGTGCTCGAACTTAGGTTTTGAATAATAACCAGTAAACTATACTTGGTAGTAGGATGCCTTCATACCCTAAATTTCTATGCAAGGAATGCAACCGAATTTAGCATATAAACAAACCGAGAGTCTAATTTAGTATGTCTTAGCCAATTACAGCAGCTAAGTTTCAGCCAGACACAGGCTGCCAGCTGATTAGATCTTGTTCAAATAAGGCAAACACTAGGCTGTAACCAATCAAGGTGTTTCAATACCTCTTTTCTGTTCATAAATGCTATCAACCCACACTGCAGGGCCAAGCTTTCTGAACAGTTTCTGGTTCTGAGGGTTGACCGATTTGCAAATCATTCTTGCTGAGTCTGTTACATTTAATTGTCTATGTTTTGATTTTTTTTTTCACAATTATGTTCAAAGGAGAGTTTTGTTTCCTCCAAAAATACTCAGAGGAATGTTTCCTGTGTGCTTCATGTAACATTGTGAGGGCTCATCAACTTCTGCTTGGCGCTGCTTCTTTGCTCTCTAATCTCAGCCTTCAGTATTCCTTAACGTTCTGCCCTGTAGGTGTTCTGCCACAGCTGCCATCATGGAAAGTAGTTCTAACGTGTTTTGTGTAATTGGAGAAATATGTTCTTGACTGAGATACAAGAGGAAAATAATTTTCAAACCAATCCCCACCCCAGGCCGACTGACGTCAGTGATCTTTAGCTGTGACCTTGGTACAATTTTTGAACTTAAAACTTTTGGCCTACTTAATGAAAAATATTTAAACACAGATTCTAAGATATCAAATGCCAATAAGAACCATAAAATACCTAATAATGGTTTTCTTTGCTTGATCAAAGATCTCCACAGGAAGGAGATTGGCAATTCAGTAGGTGGCACTTTTTCTACTGAGCCAGAACTAAAGCAAAACCTCAGGAATTCAACCTGCCCCAAGAATAGGTATCTTTCCACTGAGAAATGGGACAAAGGAGATATTTATTTGTGGCATTAAAAAATTTTTTTTGAAGTGCTCAGGTGTGTTGGTTAAAATCCAGTTTGGATAATTACATTCTTCTCACAGAAATTCCACCTACAATTTTAACTGCCACCTGTAATTTCAACAACAGTTTGGATTCTAAATAGTCTCTTTTTGACACATATTGTTCTTTAGTTCCACTGCAATGGCTGGCCAGTTGTCCCCCTCCTCATTGTAGCTGACAGTAATGAAGTAGGACAGGAAACTATTTTTGGGTATAATTAAGTGATTGTAAATGAATGGCACTATATTAAAATGATGTAATGTTTATTATAACATGATATGAAAATGTAAACTCTCATAGATTTTGGAATTCCTTTGGTGAAAAATTTTTGGCACTTTCTTTGTGATTACTGCCAACCTAAAGATATCCATGCTTTATGATGCTTCAAAAAAATATGTGAGTGTGTCACCTGCCTGATGAAGACATAGTCATGTTTCGGTATTCATTTCATATGGTATGACATAATGTAGTTGAGAGATAAAGCACTTTACATGGAAAACAGAATACTAAAATAACGTGTTAAATCCCTTGTTTTAATGGGAAATGTATAAAATAAAAAAAGCTTTTTGTGTTCTCAAAGAGCTTATGATTTTTAAATTGAAAGAACCAAAAATTAATAAAAGTTTACCCTAAACTTAGTATTCAGAAGTAGTAAGTTATATCCCAGGGCAAGCAGTTTTCTGACTAATCTCATTAATATCCATTGGTTTCCTCCATTCCTCCCTCCTTTCACACCAGCATTCTTATCCCCAAATCTCAGAGAAATACATGTTTAGTTTCTCATTATTCCTTTCAACTAGTTCCTTTTGCTTTACTGTTTTATGTCTTTCCTTTCTAACCTTTCCTCTAAACATTGAGCATGAATAATGAATTCACATTTTCATTAATGCTTATATAATACATAATAATCACTACAAAGACAAACAAAACAAAATCTTTTTGAAACACTGAGAACTTAAAAACACTGATACTAGTGCAAAGCGTTAGTCATTCAGTGAACAATTATGGTACATTCATTGTAAGACAGACATTAGAAAATGTAAGATACAATGATTATTTTATTTTACCAAATCAAAGTCTGAGTCAAATCTCAGGGCTTCACAGCACATCTTGACTAAAGCCTGGCTGATCTGCTCATTTTCTTCTGCATCTTGTTTTTAGTTATCTAATGCCAATCAGCATCAACAACCATACAGGAGCTTCCTCAATAGTCTGGTATATCTCCCTCAAAATATGTCAACCCAGCTAGGTGTGGTGGCTCGTGTCTGGAGTCCTAGCACTTTGGGAGGCCAAAGCGAGATGATCACTTCAATTCAGGAGTTTGAGACCAACCCGTGCAACATAGTGAGACCCCAATTTACAAAAGATTTTTAAAAACTTAGCCAGGCATGGTAGCATGTACCTGTAGTCCCAGCTACTCTGGAAGCTGAGGTGGCAGCATCATTTTTTTCTGGGAGGTTGAAGCTGCACTGAGCTGTTACTGTGCC